ATCTCTGGGCAAGGGTTCCACGCTGACCTGTGATGAGAAGTGTCCAGCAAGCTAATGCATGCGAACACTCAGCCACAAAGATCCAAATACACAATATCCTCTGCGATTCAGAAGAAGCAACTTATTGTGAAGCTCTCAAGTAGGAATAATCGCAAAAAATGGATAAAGGGTGCACACACTGGCTAGAAATCATCCTGTTTCATAATTTAATATCAAATTACCACTTTTCTTCACACCCATTTTCCCCTATTTTACACATATTTGTTTATTCTCACTTTACAGTGGCAAACCAGCTAGCCAATGCTAGATAAATTAAAATGAATTTTCTTTGGCAGCTAACAGAACATTGTATTCAAGAGGATATACCAGGAGTCAGGCTTAAATTATAGGTTCATCACAACAGGTAAGTGGTTTGAACCCAGAGGCCTTGTTGTGTGAGGCGATGGTGCTAACCACCACCATGCTGCCCTGAAAAGCAACATATTTTTACATGTTTTAACAAATCGCCTTCAGACTCTTCAGACTGCAGTGCAAAGACTTTTATTTGCCACCAGCAGAAGGTCGCACTTTAAGGTTTCTCATCCTTGGCCGCCAGTGAATTTTAGGATTCACTTAAATTCTTAGTTGTAACATGTAGGTCCTACAGATGAAAATTGGTGTGTATATAATTTCATTAAATGATTAATGAAAATCCAACAACTCTGTTTTTAAAAAAAAGTTATACATATGATTACGTATGCAAATACGGTGTGTCCAACCAATTTTTTTTATTTTTTTTATTTCAAGAACTGAAAGAATGAGTTGAATAAAGAGCAATACTTGTATGCAAGCTAACCAAAATTGCCTTTGTCTTTGGGTGCACGTCATTAGGATCATAATGTCTTTCCTTTTCTGTTTTGTGCTTGCCTGCTGACCCATGAAAATCTTAACAAAAGAGACATTTAAACTGGGAGAGAAAGTTTCTCTTCGATCACGTCTTTGCTGGTACATTCTACAGCAACATACAACAATTTCCACTGTTCAAGGAACAACTACATCTAGCCCAGAGCTATTCAAGTTGGGTTATTTTTTAATGTATCAGATCCTTTTAGGACTGAAAAGTCTTCTGTTTTCTTCCCAATTTTCAACAAGACCCATCAAGCATACAATGATCTGTTCAGTCTTTTACCCCTCCAGGCTGCCACAGGGAAACAATTCTAATTAATCTATTAGCCATAATTTAATTATAATTGTCATTAATGTAACATAACTTTACATGTGTTTTTAAAAAACGAATCAGACTGTGAAAGCGTGAAGAAGGGAGAAAAATAAACTCTCCACTGGATTCCATCAACAAACTGGGCTGTGAAGAATCAGTTCCACTGACTATTAGGAAACACTGAGGACGAAAGGCAAAAAAAGTTCCAGCCATTTGCATAGAATAAAAGAGAAAAAGAAATCCCCTGAGGCATAAAATCGGTTAAAGAATTACTGCATCACAGAGTTTTCAGAAAATCTACCATAAGCAAATATGGAAATTTTCCACTAAAATCAAATGAGAAGCACAGCACAGTTTCATGCCATTAATAAGGTAGCAAAGCCCCTTATGTGTGTATGTGTGAGTAAAGAAGGGGCGTATAAGTGATCCTTGAAGCAATCTTCAAATTTGTGGAACCATCCACTAGCCATGTAGCCTAATTTGGTATATATAAAAAATCTAACAGAATTTACGCCCTGTAAACAGTACAGCGCTCGGAGAATTTTCATTTCAGGAAGAAGGAGCTGCTGCCATGTTGGATCGCACAGCCTCGGTGGGAAATGCGTTGTTCGTGCCTTTTTTCCTCTCTACTGTGTATGCCCGCACGGAAAGTAACCAACAATCCACACTGCTGTTTTATTTTTTTGTTTTGTTTTTAATGAGGCAGAGTGAGTTACTGGAAAGAAAAAAAGCTTCCTAGTATCTAAATAGCTGAGTAATGAGGCTCCCATTTGACCTTGTCACATCATCAGTCTAAATCCTATCGATGCGACCAAAACAAATTGTACAGCACTCGCTCTCGCTCCATAACACCATCCTTTAGCAACCCCCCCCC